GATCTGTAGTCCCATTGCAATATTTTAGTATGTAACATCTTGTAAAAATAATCCTGTTGTTGGTTGGGAGCATAAATTCCAATCAAAAGAATTTGACCATTTGCTGTAAACAATTCAATTGCTACAAATCTACCATCTTGATCTACTTCTATAACTTTTGCTGTTAATTTTTTATTTACATAAATAACCACACCATTCTTTTTCTGCGAAGTTGAAGATATATAATGTGCTCCTAGTTTTGAGTTTATCAAATATTTTTGATCTTGAGTTGTAATATGCGTTTCTTGTAAACATATTATATCATTATTAAATTGTTTCAAATATGTAAATAATTTTTTCCTTTTCTGTGCTGAATTCAACCCATTGACATTCCAAGATAAACACTTAAAGGTCATTAGCCTCTTTCTGGAGCGCGGAGCAATATGCTTGAAGTTCATCCGCGAGCTTCGATCTCGCTCCTCCCATAGCGCCAATCTCTTGTGCAGTGCTCTTAACTGCCTTCTTGTCTTGTCTTTCCTGTTGTTGTTGTTGCTTCTGTTTAAGTAGCTTGGATTGAGCTCTAGTTATACGTTGATCTTTAACTTCAGTCAACTGTATCAAATCCAAAATTGGAGAAGAATCCAGCGATGGCTCACTCAGAATACCTCCTTCTGCACCTTGCACGTTTTCTAATTCCTGCTTAGACTGTTCTTTCAATTGCCTCTCTTCACTCTCCTTAATCTCCAGAACTGTAGATGTACGTGGAGATGGTGTTCTTTCCATAAGAATAGTACTGTAAAAGTGTTGCGCCTTCTCCACGGTATTCAACCGATATCCTTCTCCCTTATATCTGAAAATTACCCCAGCTGGTGCATCCCACCGGAAGGGTATCTGTAAATTTTTCAATTCCTTAACAAGAAAACCAAATTCTTTTCTAGCTTTCAGCATTTTAGGAGGTAACTCTTTAAAAATTACAAGCCGTGAGCCCCCCACTTGTATAGAAGTGTGAAAAGATTTTTGCAGGATATCATTTCTAATTTCTCTCTCAGTAAAGTATATGACCACATCTCTGGGTAATTGTCTTTGCCTGGCCACCCAAGAGTTCACTCTGTAAATTTTATCTATTTTATGAAATACCAAATCAGGATTAACTTGTAAAATCTTAGCCAGGGCTTCAGAGCAAACTTGTCTCAAGTCCTGTCTTTCCTCCTCTCGAATTCCCCGAAGCCGTATGGCAAATTCCATCGCCCGGAATTGTATCATAACAATCTCATCTTCAATTCTCTGCATTTTATTGTCAACTTCATCAATTTTATAATCATTGTCTTTCATCCTAACATTAACTTCTGATTTAAATTCTTCAACTTTAAAATCAACTTTCCCAATAAAATCTGCCAGGCCAGACGCCACTTCTGATATTTTTTTGGTCACCATAATTTGATTCTGTTTCACCATGTCTTTAACTTCATTAATTTCCTGCAAAAATTCCTGATGTGATTTTTGAAGTTCCTGTTGTGATTCTTGAAATTTATCATCCAAAGTTTTAGAAATAAATTCTTTTAAATCTGCCACATCAAATTCTTTTTTCTGAGTTTGTAACTGTTGAGCAGGGGGAAGTTGCGTTTGCTGTTTGTGTGTGGGGGATCCCCCCCCTAATGCCTTCCCTTCCTGCTTCTTTGAAGCCATCCTGGCTCGTGATCTAGTTTTTCTAAAGAGGGAGGTTCCTTTTCCTTTCCCTCCTGCACAAAGACTTCTAAAAAAGTCCCCCAGATTTGATCAAACAAGGGTTAAAATAAAGCAAAGTCCAATATTGAAAAGGGAAAAAATTTCCCAGTTATTTCTCTTATAACAAGCGAGGCAGCTTAGTAGCAACTTGGAAACTTTGTAGCAAAACAAAGTAACTTCACCAATCCACACTCGCTGGCTCGTTAACTCTGAAGCTAGGCGCCATGTTTTTTCAAAGCACTTTCACTCATTTGCATTTTCTCAGATTGAAAAGTCAACAAAGTGCTAATACTTGCGTTTCCAAATTTCAGGATTCAGGTAGTTTCGCTGTTTATTAAAGCTAGTTCTTTCGCTTTAAGTTTCCTGCAGCCGGCTTGTTCTGCAGAAGCAGAATCGTCCCACGCCGCCCGGAGTCTCAGCAGGTTGGAAGGGAGCCGCGCCTGTTTCCTCCCCAGAAACGATTCCCTGGGGGGTTACAGGGGCTCGACCTGTGCCCTGCTATCTCTCCTCCAACAATCCTCAGGATTTTGAAGTTTTCGAGCCGCTTCTCGATCGCGAAGCGGCTCTACAGGCGGCGGGGCTGGCGGAGCTTCAAAGAGCGCCGCCGTCGCCGAAGACAAGGAAACCGGAAGTCGAACTGCCAATTAACTTGATCGAATGCTTTTTGTGCATCCAGAAATATCAGTGCTACCTGTCTCTCTGGATGCATCTCATAGTATTCTAAAACATTAATTATCATTCTTATATTGTTTTTTATTTGTCTTGTTGGCAAGAAACCGTTTTGATCCTGATGTATTCTGTTGTTTAGTATTTTTTTCATCCTATTTGCAAATATGTTCCTGGAAAATTTTGTAGTCAGTATTTAATAAGGAGATCGGTCTGTAATTTTTTATTAGTGTTGTATCTGCTCCTTCTTTTGGTATCAGGGAGATATATGCTTCCCTCCATGTATTTGGTAGCTTTGCCTCCATCAATGCCTCATTATATATTTCTAATAATATCCCATTTAGTGATTCCCCTAAACTTTTATAAAACTCCGTTGGTTGACCATCAGTCCCCAATGTTTTATTATTTTTTTGTCTCTTCAATGCTTCTTTTAACTTCCCTATAGTAATTTCCTTATCTAGTAACTCTTTTTCTTCCTCTGTTAATGTTGGCATCTCTTCCCACTTAAATATTGTTCTATTTCCTCCACTGTTACTTTATCTTTCTCATAAAGCTTTCTTGTATCGTCATAAGTGTGGCCTGCATTGTTGGCATACTTAATGCAGTAGGCTGCTTCTCTGATGAAAACATTACCTCTAAAGTCCTCTGTGTCACTGGGGAGGCCGATGGTCCAGTTAGTATTGATGCGGTTTTCTTCCCTGTTTTCACGTCGTTGTGGTGGTACTAGTCATCTCCTTAAGTATTCTGTATTGTTCCACCAAAATTTTATCTACACTATGCTAATAATTCTCTATGTTAATAATTTGTCTAAAACGATATTTTTATTGCTCCATCTGTTAATGAAAGTAAGGAAGCCAAAACAATAATCAAACTGTATGCTAGGTAAGGTTTTCCTCATTATATTTTGGCAGCTCCAAATGAAATTACAGAACAGTGGAGTAAAATTCTACGTTTAATCTACTTCAGGGAACATAGGTAATTCTCTTCCTCTCTTGCTCCCTCTCAATTAAAACAGCAAAATACCTGGGACTCTAGAAACTGATCAACCATTAAGATTTGTAGATCACTGGGCATCTGAATTAGGGTCCTGATCTCATTGCAGCACATGACCTATGCTTGGGTTTGAATGACACATGCAAGCAGAAAGCAGAAACTATATTTTAACCCACTTATTTTAGGCTGTGGTTGTATTTCAAAATATTCATTAAATATACACATATTCATGTGTAAGCAAGTCCTACAAGCACATCGCAACTCCTAAAAATAGAAAATGGAAAAATAGACAGCTAAGGGTAAGGCTTATCTTTAACATAACTTTAACCTTAAACTGTCTACTGTTGACTTCACCCCATTCCTAAGAGGTAAGGAGCATGCATAAGCGCAACAGAGTGCCTTCCGTCCCTGTCCTACTGTACCCATTTATTCGTACCCATTTCCTGTATTAATATCCATTTTTATACTTATTCCTGTTTTATGGTACATGTTTGACAAACTATATAAATAAATAAAAATAAATAAGGCTGCCTTCTGGATGGGGTCAGTGGTGAAATCCATTTTTTTTTTACTACCGGTTCTGTGGGCGTGACTTGGTGGGCGTGGTATGGCTTGGTGGGCATGGCAGTGAAAGGATACTGCAAAATCCCCATTTCCTCACCACTCCTGGGAGAAGGATATTGCAAAAACTCCATTCCCACCCCACTCTGGGGCCAGCCAGAGGTGGTATTTGCCGGTTCTCCGAACTACTCAAACGTTTCCGCTACGGGTTCTCCAGAACTTGTCAGAACTTCCTGGATTTCACCCCCGGATGGGGTCGACTCCCAGCATTTGTTTGGAAATTAAATTGGGCACCTCAAGTAGCAAATGGGTGAGCAAAGGCATATAATTTACACGGGGACTTCTTAAAAAGAATTTCAACAGCACTGCCAACACTGAGCTTGTTGATCAGAAAGGTCGGCAGTTCGGTGGTTCGAATCCTAATACAGGTCTGCTGCGTGAGCAGGCGGTTGGACTAGATGACCTCCAAGGTCCCTTCCAACTCTGTTACTGTTAAAAAAATTTTTAAAAAACTCTTTTCCGCCCGCCTCCTTAAAGCAGGGGTCCCCAAACTTGGCAGCTTTAAGACTTGTGGACTTCAACTCCCAGAATTCTCCAGCCAGCATAGCTGGCTGGAGAATTCTGGGAGCTGAAGTCCACAAGTCTTAAAGCTGCCAAGTTTGAAGACCTCTGGTTTAAAGGAAAAAACCCAAAGGCAGCTGGCGAAAGAGCGACTGTCTGCGGTTGAGGGTCCCCAAGCGCCCACAACAGTCAAGTCGCAGAAGTCGGCCTTTGCTTTGGCTCCGTGCCCCGAGAGTTGCAGCCTCGCGGCCCAGGAAATTCGCTTAGGGGGAACCGTGCTACTTTCGACCACCGGAGTTTCTAATCAGACTTCCCAAACAACGAATCTCAAGCGAGATTCACATAAACAACTTTACGAGCCATTTGCCAAAAACCTCACTTCCTCTTTTCTCTCTGGACGCTGTAAAAATCTGCAAACTAATCTGTCTGCAGCCTCGCTGCGCGACGTCATCGGGGGGGGGGGGTCTTTTGATCCCCCCCCCCCCCTTTACCTTGGGGGGGGGGGGGGGGGGAGGAAAAACAAAAAGATCCCAACAAAGAAAGCGCGTGTTTGGAGGAGCTGCTGGGAGGTAGTAGGATCCTGCCCCAAACTTTCGGTTGAGTTTTGTTTCGTTCCGACTCGGATTTTTCCCGATCGCTTTCGGGAGCGGAGGTCACAGAAGTTCCGAAGTTTCCCGGAGGATCAGCCCTTTTCCACAAGCTGGCAGAAAAACTTCGAATCCGGCAGAAGCAACGCCAGTAAGTAATTTTTGGCTGGCTCTCCTTGAGCCAGGTGTATGTAGCCTGTTGTGGGTTAGGGTGGGACGGAAAACAGAGGAGGTGGCAGCCGAGCTGGACAGATGCCGAGGTAGATCGGCGTTGAGATGTAAGCATCCAAAACCAGATCCGGACATCTGGCGAATCGCGAGGTGTCCCGCCCTGGCAAGAGTCGTAGCAAAAAAATTAGCTTTTAAATTCTTCGACTGCAGATCGGATTTTGGCAGAAAGATAACAAGAAGCAAAGTGTTAGGCAGTGGGGGGAAAAAAAGAAAGGAGTTTCTGAAGCCACCGGCATAATATAAACACTCATTTTGAAACTATGCATCTAAGAGAAAGGGAAATCTGTTATGATTCACTAAATAATGACTTGAAATAGGCTTGGTTGGGCTGTTCCTCTTTGGAGCCAAGTCTAACATCGACAGCTTGGGAGAAATACACTAGGAGAGAAAAAAAAAAGAAATTTGAATGATCTCGTCTGATTCTTTGCTTACAGAATAGGCTGGGCTTTGTATTTTGTGAGTGGCTTAGTGGGCTTAGAATCACTTGATTTCAAAGACTTTCTGAGCATGTAGACACCTACAAACCTGTACTATAATCAGGTTAAACTTTTGCGGTGGCTTAGTGCCAGGTACAGTCATCATGATAGGACTGTAGCTTCAGTTTGGCATGGCTGTGAAAAATTTGGTAGCAGGGTTGGCAAAAACAAATCTGGTCACCGAATGCCAGTTGTTTCACTCCGCAGGCCAGCCTGTCTCCTTATGAAACTGAACAATAAAATGCCTGCCTTGGATAGCAGGTAAGATACTAGAAATGAGTTGTGTAGGATACCAAATCTGCCGTTTAGAGAAATGCAGGCAATACAGTAAGGTTGAATACGAATAAAAATAGAAGAGATGAAAAGTCTGTATCATAAAGCAGCAGGGTGTGTTTCAGCTGCAATAAAAAAAAAAAATTGCCCAAGTATAACTTGAGGCTTGTTGCTGCAGCAGTAATGCCAGCTTTATTACCCTGTTTATTATGCCACAGTCCCTGAAGCTTCCAATTGCAAAAGGTTTTTAAATGGCAATTGGGGGAGGGGTTCATTTGGTTTGTATTTTATTTTTTTCAGTTTGTCCTTCTTGACCCAGTGCACAAACTGAAATATAATTTATGCATTTCCCAGCATATCAACATTTTTCTGAATTTTAAACACACAATTTGTACACATTAGGGGGAAATGAACAAAAAATTAAAATGCAATAGTGAACGCTCGCATAAATATGACCATATTTAAAATGGGTAGATCTTAAGTATCTTAGAAATTGCTTATCTTGCTCCTTTCCAGAATGATTCAAGCCTGGATTTGGCATGTAAATGGCCTTGGTCATTGATTAGATCATCATGGGGAAAAGATAAGGGAGCAAAACCCTATTGACAGGATCCTGTTGTAGCATTCAAGGAGTTGAAGGTTATGGTGGTTCTATTTTTCAGGGTTCTATCAGACCATTTTCGAAAATTTCCTTGGGGATCCTTCAAGGCCCCCCATGTTATTTAACTTAATAATGCACAGGTTTGGAGCTGTCATAAATATCGTAATACTAAATATATTCCTTTCATGTGCTTTCATATTATGATGTTTCCAGAATCTCCATGTGTCCCTGCTATAAATGACAGGGAAAATAGTTAGCCAAAGCTTAATTCAAATAGGATCAATAATACATAGATCAGTGTTTCTCAATCTTGGTAGCTTGAAGATGGGTGGACTTCAACTCCCAGAAGTCCACCCATCTTCAAGCTTCCAAGGTTGAGAAACACTGACATAGACCTTCTGGTGAGGTTGCATTGCCTTTTATGGAGCATACAATATTCACAGGATGGTGTCCTCTTGGATCCAAAAATGACACTCGGCAATCACTTAACATTACTGGCAAAGATACACATGTAATGCAGGATAGCTACAAATCTGTCACAAGATTGAGCTGAAAAAATCAGAGGTGTTCTTTCATGAAAGTCATGAACTAAGTTTGGTGGTTCATAAAATGGTAACCTGACGGCTGACTAATACGTGTTATGTGAGGTAACCCTTGAAGATGTCTAAAATTGAAATTGGCCCAGCAAATTAGAAACAGAGTAAAACCAAATTTGATAAATTCTCCTAACCAGATTGCTGTGTTTTTGTTAGTTAACTATTTAACTGTTCATATAGTTAAAATAGGAAAACATTACCTATGTTTATTTCTTCCTTCTTTACTTTCTCTTTTACAACTTCAGGTGTCGAAGGAGATACAAAGTTCTGGTTCTTGCACTTCTGGTGGCCTCCACCATTGTTATTTAATATTGTAGCATGTCTTTGATATTGTCTCTCCATCTTCTGACTTTGCCTCAATGCCTCATGTTTTTTGGGCTTCCCCTCTTTTTCTATATGACTTGTATAGACCCCCAAGAATCCCAAGTCATTTTCTCCAAGTGATCAAACCATTTAACTTGCTCTTTTTATATGTAGTTTAAGATTGGTTATATTCCTATTTTTATTTATTGGTTATTATTATTTGAGATAATTTACTGGGTAGTATTTGAGATTCATTCCTAATATTTGACTTTGATCAATAATGTATTTATTATATAGTGTTATATGTTAGGTCTATGCTAAGATTTATAGCAGAAGTCTTCAAACTTGGCAGCTTTAAGACTTGTGGACTTGTAACTCCCAGAATTCTAAAGTAGTTTTTACTTACTAAAGTAGTTTTTACTTTTACTTACTAAAATAGATTTTGCATAAATTCTCTTCAGCTGCTTCTCTACTACTTCAGACATATGTTGTGTATATATAACAGGCACAGAAGAAACTTGTCTTGATGCAAAGCAAGTCAGGGAGAATTAAATCCACCTTGATGTTTATAAAGTAGATTATCTTGCCTCTATGCTTCGCTGTACATCCTGAGATGAATTAGATCAATTTTATACAATTTTATATTAGGTGTACTTTGTTCTGCAGGTTGCCTTGAGAGGATTTATGACCTTAAAGATGGGTTAAAATTGCTGTGGTTTGTCTAGTGCCACTTTCAGATCAGGATCTCTGTGTGGTTTACATATAAGAAATGTGGACTTCTGTGTGGTTCTCTGGTGATTAGACCCTTAAAGCTAGAAGCAGCACAGAATTGAGTAGCCCCATCTCTAGGTCCCCTAGATTTTGAGATCGTTTATTATTTGCTCATTACATTGATATTTTTTATTCGCCCTATGCTAGTCCTTAATCCTGAAGGTGAGGTGGCTAGTGAAAAAAGACAATGTTCTCATGGTTAGATGGTCAGCTGCCAGCGAGAGCTGCTTTGGCCAGGGGTCAGCAACCTTAAACACTCAAGGACCTGTTTCCCACAGAAAAGAAAACACCGGGAGCCACAAAATCCTTTTGCCATCTAAAATGAAGATAGCACTGCATACATCACTTTTTACCTTTATGCTATGCATAAAAAAAAACTATAGTGTGCTGCATTTATGAAATCAGTGACCTGCTACAGAGAAAACACATTTTTATTTCTGCATGCAACAAAAATATTTTGAACTCCGAAAAAAAGAACCACATGTGACTCCAAAGCCACAGGTTGCAGACCCCTGGCCTTGGCTTTTCTCTTTATTGTTGTTATTTGTAGCACTAGTTAAGTAATATTTATTAAATTATTTTTATATAATAAATGTTGTGGAGGCGTTGATGAACAATTTGAAACTTCATAAAGGGATTGATGAACTGAAGAGTTTGAGGATTATTGTTTAAAGCATACATTGGGGAAATCTTGCAAAACTCCAAGCAGGTTAATGAAATACATCATTGTTTCAGTTTTGAACCTGACTTATACAGCTATATCCAAGGAGATAATAAAATGAATAAACATAAACTTATCCGGCCAATTTAATTATATCTGCTGCATAACTAATTCATTTTCTCATTGTGCTGCATATTTAAAAGCCTGCCTCTTTAATTTTGTTTAGTTTGCACCATTTGAATCATTGGGAATATTAATCTAAGCTAAATATATTTTCCATAGCTTGTAATGCTATTTTTTTCTTGACCTGTTTTTTTTGTCTAAAAAAAAGCTATGAATGGAATTACAAAGAAGGAAAGAATGTTGGTTCGTTTCAGTTGTGTGTCTAGTTGTTTGTTACAGCTTAAATTATAGTAGATTGTGTGGGAGGAGACAGATTTCATGAGGAAAGGAAAACCTTGTGCTTGCCACACAATTTTGAGAAGCATAATAGCTTTGCTTTAAAAAAAGATGGTAATCTTACATAGAACTGGCCTATAAAAACCAGACCCTTCAACCAAGATGGTTGATGCCTTTTGGATTTAAACAGATTAGTGCTATGAACACAGGGGTAAAATCCAGCAAGTTCTGACAGTTCTGGAGAACCAGTAGCAGAAATTTTCAACAGTTCGGAGAACCGGTAGCAGAATTTTTGAGTAGTTCAGAGAACTGACAAATACCACCTCTGGCTGGCCCCAGAATGGGGTGGGAATGGAGTTTTTGCAATATCCTTCTCCCAGGAGTGGGGAGGGAATGGGGATTTTGCAGTATCCTTCTCCTGGAGTGGGGTGGGAATTGAGATTTTGCAGTATCCTTCCCCTGCCACACCCACCAAGCCACGCCAACAGAACCGGTATTTAAAAAAATTGGATTTCACCACTGTATGAACACCCCAAAAATAAGTTAGTGCTCTGTCTTATGAAAACATTGCTGAAACTCCCATCCACCTAATAAATGACTAGGATTGGATATCATTACCAGATGCATAAGAATGATGGTAGCTGAAATTTTCAGTAGTAGTAACAGTTGCTTGCTTGCTTGCTTACTTGCTTGACTTTCAGCTATGTTGGGCAGTAATGGGAATGGAAAATGCCTATGTAATTAAATAGTGGCAAAAATGTTTCCCTGCACACTCATTATTAACCATTCTACTTCTTTCAAAATCACACATAAATGAGTCATATGTTTGTTTGGATGGCAAGTGTTACCATGAGATCTGGAAGTATAGTACTTTGATGTTCTGGGCCTCTGGGATCGTTCATTTTACATGGTGTTTGTTTTAGCATAATATAATGGATAAGAAACCTTTATTTAAAATCAGAATGATAGTCATTGTGTATCCTATTTGGAAAAGTTACCCATTATTGCATTCCTGTTTGTCCCACAGAGTACTTCTGTGGAAATCTGGCTGTGAGTTTTAGAAGAACCTGGTCCATGGTCATCTCAATTTGGGATGGGGCTCCAGCTCTGGTTACAGTTGGTGATGATCTGTGATCAAGCTTTATATGTTTTTTTGTTGATTTGTCTTGGTCCTTTGTACGGTAGGTCTATGAGCTGTACAGATAGTCCTTGACTTATAGCCACAATTGAGCCCAACATTTCTATTGCTAAGCAAGGCAGTTGTTAAGTGAATCTCATGCCATTTTACAACTTTTTTTGCCATGGATGTTAAGTGAATCAATGCAGTTAAGTGAATCATGTGGTTGTTAAGCAAATATGTCTCTCCCCATTGATTTTGCTAGTTAGAAGCTCCCTAGGAAAGTTGTAAAAGACAACCCCAAGACCCCAGGATGCTGCAACCATCGTAAATACATGGTGATTGCCGAGTGCCCGTATTTTGGTCACATGATTGGGGATACTGCAATGGTCATAAATGTGAGAACCGGTCATAAATCACTTTTTTAAGTGCCATTCTAACTTCAGATGGTGTTGGAATACATGTTAGAATGTATTTTGTATCGCAACAACTACACAAGTATTCAGCCAGTAGATGGCAGTGTTTGTAAGTTTTCTGGGT